CTAGCCAAATTTCATAATTATCGTTGCATGGTCTTCGGCGGCTACTGTATATGGCTGCAGTTTAACTGTGTTTGTGTGGCCTGTCAGACATCTCACAAAAAGGAAATGTGTGAGCGAAACTGGGTAACTATCTTTGACCCACCGGTCGCTCGGGTATCTGTTGACTATTACTAAGGCTCAACCGTCTGCAGTGTAGATCATAGATTTTTTTAAGAATCACGGTTTTGAAATAAATGTTCTGTTTATGTTTGCTAAGGACGCGGATGTGGAGTTGGGGATAGCACTCCTGGTCTCATGAATAGGGGACACTTCCACGTTAAGAAACTAAAGTAAGCACGCCGTGCTCTTGTCGATCCCCAGATCTGTCGAATCAACTCCCTGGCATGACTATCAACTCCGCAGATAATTGTTGCATGTTTGCACAACCAATACTTCTTCGCTTGGATCCTTATATGGAAAAAAACTTTGTGGAATGATCTGACCATTGACCTCGTACTTTTTCCAAATTCTTTGTAACACTAAGTGCCTGAACACACCCTGTACCCTGTACGAATGGGTTCGCCCCCCTTTACTGAAATCTTATGACGCGTTTTGGAGATGAAAGTGACTATTATGGAGTTAGGGACCGTCCTACAAGTAGTGCACTTAGATTATAATTTTATCATGAATTACCCAACCTATCCACCTCTTAATGTATATTCCTTTATGGGTCTTCCCATTCGACCGAAGTGGATATGAACAGCCAGCACGATAATGTTGGACCGATGAATAGTACCACTGCTTTTTTGCGTGCTCAGACAAAATTGTTTACGCCGTTTTGCGAATAAGAATTCCAAGAATTCAGAATAATTCCAAGAATTCCAGGCATCTGCACAGTTAGAGAACATGAGGTGTTTCTTATAAATTGGAAGGCAGTCAAGGAAAGGCGTCTTTTGGTCAACTGAGGAAACATGAGGCATGTTCAATCGTCGGAACAATTTCTCGCTTCAGGTGACCCTTTGAATTCGTGCAGAAGTATAACGCCAGAGACTGACATTACTGATACTTAAATTGACTCCTATCTCCCAGAATTTTTGTTTGTTCTGATGTCGCTTTATTCTTTGATAGCGGACCCCTGTACGCATTCTAACGCCCATATGAATAAAACAATATAGTTTTACGAATGATGGAGAGCGTTTGCGTTCCAGGTATTTGCATGGGCAAAGAAGAAGAATGGTCGAGCATCGGATCACTTTGTTTACTATCCTGAGCTTTCGAACTCTTACAGGAGTCCATCCTCAGAGATTAAAAAATAGCAACAAAAGAGGGCTAGTTATAGTGTGTGTGCACCAATCAACTGTCAAGAGACATCAGGCCGTGATAAGTAAGAAATCTGCGGTAGTCTATCAAATCCTATGCCCAAGCTGTCCTTGTCACTACACAGGTCAAACTGAACGCATGCTCGGATCGCGCATACAGTAACACAAGTTGGCCGTACGACGAGGCGACGAAGTATCACAAGTTGCAACTCAC